AGATCATCTAACTCTCCAAAAAGACTACCAGAAAATCCATCCACCAACGAAAAATATGAGCCTACACATTATGAGATAACAACAGAAAACCAGTAAATCCAAGAAATTGATAACAACCCATAACAGATTCCACCACGAATTGCTTCATTTCCCAAATGAATGGCAAAAAAATTTGCTTTTTAGCTTGAAACAATTCAATAACAATCACAGACATTGATAAATAAAAGACCTCTGCACATATTGAATCATGTAAACACAGACTTTGCATCAATGCTGATGCACTGAAGGTACCTCGATGATGTACTGCACAATTTCCGGGTAGTTGTTGAGAGCAGCCCATTGGAGAGCGTAATAGCCATTAACATCAGGTAGAAGGAGGGAGCCACCGTCTTCCTCAACGAATTTTCTTACTTTATCGAAATCTCCATAGGCAGAGGCAGAGTACACATCTACAACGGCAGTTGGGGGTTCGGAGTTTTGCCGGGTTTTGGATCCTGATTCTGTTGATACCACCTCGATCTCTGAAGAAGCCATGTTGGAGAAACAATTCAGTTTTAGGATTTTGGAAATTATTTCAGAAATCTGGGGTTCAGGGTTTATCAGGACAGGTGGAATCTGTATAGAAAATGATCTAGTTACTGTTTCAGTTGAAATCATAAACTTACCCCACATCGTTACATAGCAAAGGAAAATGTTTTTGAAATAATTTTTTATTTTATTTTTTTTTATAATTTATCTATTATTAAAATAATTAATTTTATAAATTTATGTAAAATTTATGATATTAAAAATATTTACTCATTTAATTATATATAAAAATTATAAAATAAAATAAAAAAAATTATCTTATAATTCCGTACATAATAAATTGCGTGCTCAACATTGAAATTTCGAATCTTCTACTCTAAGTCGTAAACAATTAAAAAAAATTAATTAACAATCTAATATAAAATATATGGTCTATAACATCATCAAATTTGCAAAAAAATTCTTTACTTCTCGACTGCTCCTCTATTTTCCTCTCTCCGTTGAAAGTTTTTTTAAAACGAAGGAACTGTTATAAAATAGAAAGAATTATTTTTCATAAATATTTTTATATTTTAATTTATTAGATTAATATTTATTAGTTAGATTTATAAAAAATTATTAATTTAAAAAATATTTTAAAATTATATTATTTTAATAAACTATTATAAAAAAATAAATTTTAAAAACTTTAAAACTATATTATTTTTAAAATATCGTAAAAAACTTAAATAATATTATCTTTTTAAAAAATAAGATATTTTAAATTTTTAGTAAAAATTTATTAAAATAATATAATTTTATAATATTTTTACCTAAATTTTTACACATCCTCCTTATAAACATTTTTTTCTTAATTTATTAAGTTATTTAAATTTTATTATTATTATTCTGAATATATTACAGAAAAAAAATAGAGGCAAGAAAAAAGAAAAAAAGCATATTAATGAAGAACAGTAGCCAATAAAAAAACGCCATGACATCATTTGCCCTGTGGCGGCCTCTGGCTAGTTCTAAAACCTGTTCCTCAATTAGTGATTCAGTTCAGTTCGGTCCCCAACTCCCGACCATAAGCAGCATGGCGACAGCGTCGAGAGCGATTGCCCTTGCCAGCAACACGATGACCGCATCGTGTTTCCTTCCCAAAACGCCTTTCGTTCTAAAGCAGGGAGCTTTGAGCTTTTCCGGTGGCAGAAGGCTCTCGAAGAGGTTGCTTTTCACCTGTAATGCCATTTATAAGCCTCAAGTTCAGATCAAGGAAGAAGGCCAGCCCGAAACCCTCGATTATAGAGTTTTTTTCCTTAACGATTCCGGAAAAAAGGTATTTCGGCCCCCCCCCCCCCCCCCCTCCCCAATCTCTTGTTTTTTAATTAAGTTTTGTTCAATTCGTAAGGCAAATTAAAGTTTTAGTTTTTCTGTTTATCGTTGTTTCTTATTCGTGAAATTGAAGCATCATGCTTAATGTCCAAAAAGAAAAGCATCATGCTTTTTTAAATGGTAAATTTCTTATTCAAGTTCTGTATGGTTGCTGAGAAAATGGGTTTGTGTTTTTATTTTTTTTATAGCCGAGTCAAGTAGAATTCGCAATTTGGTATTTGTGAAAATGCCAGAAGGAGAATTTGTTACTACCATGTGAATGTGTTTCATTATTTGGGGATCTATGGATAATACTTATTATCTCATAACATTTCTTGTAAACATAGATTGGAAATTTAGCATGTATATGGCATGGATTTTTGTTCTCTGTCTTGACATGTTAACTGAATGAAATTATTTGTTGGTGCCTGTGGCTGTGCAGATTTCACCTTGGCATGACATACCATTACAATTAGGCAATGGTGTTTTCAACTTCATTGTCGAGATTCCCAAAGAATCAAGTGCAAAGATGGAGATTGCCACTGATGAACCATACACTCCCATTAAGCAGGATACAAAAAAGGGAAAACTTCGATATTATCCGTAAGATATGTTGTTCTAGATTATGCATCTTCTATTTTTGTTTTCTTAGTGGCAGTCATTTTATGCTTTTCCCATGTTTGTGGTGTTTGGCTTCTCATACATTTATCAATTTCTAATTTTATCCTCTTTCCCTACCCATGAAGTCATGGATCTAAGAGTTTTCAGTTTTGTTTTGCATGTTTGACCTGATTAGTGCTTCAATTTGATGTTTTCTTTGCTTGTTGTCTTGAAGCTATTTGAGCATAATTGACATCTCTATCCTATATAGTTATAAATTCCTCCTGCTCCCAAAAGGTTTCTCCGACTTTTGAGGGACACAGTAATCTTTAGGGTACTCGAAATCTCATTTTTGGAGCTGAATATCATTAGAATGGTGGACAATAAACACAGAATGGCCTCTTCTTAATCATTTTTAAATGCAAGGGATCCATTGACACATTTAATATAAGATTGGCTTGTTTAAGAAAATTAATTTACATCTCGTTACTTGCTGTCATGGTCATTGTTCTTGGACTGTCTTTTGTCCTTAATGGTTCTGTTAGGCTTTAAGCTGTCTGCATCTGAACATCAGTTTTCTCATAGATTTCATTTCTGAATCATTTCTTTCTTTTTCCTCAGCTATAATATAAATTGGAACTATGGATTGCTTCCGCAAACATGGGAAGACCCTTCTTTTGCTAACTCTGAAGTTGAAGGGGCATTTGGAGATAATGACCCTGGTAATTTCCTTCATATTTCTATCATGATATTGCTGCATGCTTTATCCTCTTCTTTATCTAGAAAGTAGCTTTTGGATTGTCATTGTTACCATCTTATACAATTTGCAGTTGATGTTGTTGAGATTGGTGACAAAAGGAGAAATATTGGTGAAGTTCTGAAGGTCAAGCCCTTGGCTGCTTTAGCCATGATTGATGAAGGTGAACTTGACTGGAAAATAGTTGCAATTTCATTGGATGATCCAAAGTCTTCTCTTGTGAATGATGTTGATGATGTTGATAAGCATTTCCCGGTATTTACTACTCCCTATCAAATTGTCTTTTCTCTTTTGCGTTGATGTGGCACGCCAACTGACCAACATCATAAGCAGCAATGTTTTAAGTTCTCAAATTGAATTGATTTAAGCTGGTTGAAGGCAAAGTTGTGTTATTTATAAAAGATTTGGGCGTTAATCTGGTGATATCTTTAGGGAACCCTCACTGCAATCAGGGACTGGTTTAGAGACTACAAGATCCCTGATGGAAAACCAGCCAATAAGTTTGGTCTTGGCAACAAGGCAGCAAACAAGGTAAATGTTGATTTTGTTTCCTTCATCATCTTCCTCCTGTTGCACATCTTGAGCTCCCTTATCAAAACAATTAATCTGTCTGATGAACAGGATTATGCTCTTAAAATTATCACTGAGACTAATGAGTCTTGGGCTAAACTCGTCAAGAGAACAATCCCTGCTGGAGAGCTTTCACTTTTTTGAATGCAATTGTTAAGAGTTATAGCAACTGCAGGAGGTGGTATTGTCATTGCCATTGCCAACTAAATCAGGGTTTTTTCAAGTGCAAGGAGGTCCTGATGATCATACAAGCAGATACACCATTGCGTCCCTTCCTGATAGTGATTCAAATAATTCATTGAAATCTATAGTCTGTTTATCTTGTTTTCTGTTTTCTGAGTATCGGTAAATTTAAGAATTATGACTGCAAATTCAAATAAACAATAATATGTTTTTGACATGTTGGATATAATCATCTTGTAGAACAAAGAAGACCCTATTCCAAATCAATGCAAATGAACATGAGAAACAACATTTATAGTTTACAAGCAACTTTCTATTCTAGCAACCTAACCCTAATAACAGCAGGAGGATGAAGTCACATACATCAGCCTCTACCAGCAGCTAAGTTCAAGAGCTTCACGGAACCTCTTTTCCAATGCAGAATCAGTAGCTTCCATTGTTGGCCCTTTGCTATCAACCCCAGATATCTTTTGCAAAACCATCTTATTTGCAGAGGCCTTCATCTCAATAGATGCTGCTGCAACCGATACCAACGGTGGAGAAGAAGCTAAAGAAGGTTTATTGTGATGGGAGAGGATCAGCATTGCAGCCGTAGGCGCCATGAACCTATGATGAACCAGATAGGTATAGAGATGAAAATGATATGGTCAGACTAAAAAAGAGGGTATCTTTAATTATATCATACAGTGAGCTCCAAAACAAGCAAACCATAGTCTGTGGGTCTTCCAATGGTTTTCTTTTTTCTGGAATTTTATTAATGACAATCAGATAACTTATAGACGACTGTTTCTGATTTTAACCAACCAAAATAAGGGTTTAAGTCAATAATTAGTTTATTAACTATAAGTTTAATTTCATTTTAATCTAGAAAGTTTCGTTTTCTTTCTAAATGATTTATAAATTGTAAAGAATACTTCAAATTAGTTACCATACAAAGTTTTTGTTAAATCTAACGAAAAATATAGTTCTCTAAGTTCAAAAAAATGATATTATAATCTCAATAAAATCTGATGACTCAAAAAATATTTTATAAAGATAGATTAGTTAAAATTGGTAATAAACTTGAGTAACTAACTTAATGCAAATAGAGAAATTTAATAAGTTTAGAATGAGAACTTTCAAGAATAAATTTGTTTTACAAGATAAATTGTGTACAGTTTGTCTTGTAAAATTATTTAAATGTCTTTAAAAAATAATATAAAAATAAAATTAAGAATATTTAAATAATTTTATAATACAAATTGCATATAAAACAGTTTTCTAAAAAACACATTTAGTAAGATAAGAATAAAAACTATTTTTAAGATGAATATAAATTTAAGGACTAAAAAATCAAAAGAAATATAATTAGAGTATTAAATATTTTTTGACAGATAAAATTTTTTTTGTTAAATATAACATATTAGATGAAATTGAAATAAATGTGAAAAATAATAGATAAGGTTGAAAAAATTTTAAAATAATAAATGAAATTAAAAAATATATAACAATTAATAGATGATTTATTAACTTAAACAAAAAATAAGACAGGTGTTGCTTCTTTTGAGCTCCACATCAGACGACAAGCAAACAACAATCAGTGAGCCGTTGACTAATATACTGAAGCGTTCACCTCGTGTTTTATTTAATCCGCATTGATATGATGTCCCATGTGAAATTTACTTGTTTTATTTTATTTATTTATAATTATTAAAAAATTTTATTATAATAATTTAAATTTAATTT